CGAGCCACAGAGGAACGAGGTTTGCCTCTCAAGCATCAGAATTGACCGTGGAAGATAAAGAACCATCTGAACCCTAGTTATCAATAAAGGTCTTTTAACTGATAATGTATTTCATATAAAAATTCTGAATCCATTATAGCTTACATTTTTAGATTAAAAGAAAGATTCTGTGATAAAAACCAGAGACCTTCTGCTAATAATAAATTCAACGATGAAACACTTTACAATTCAAATACCTGAGTTTTTCTAAATCCAAAATGCATTTTTATAGCAGCAATGTGATGACCTGGGTTTAACCTGTATTCTGATCCATGACTAAGCAAATAATTTATAACAGACTGCCACTGGCACAGTGCACATTACAGTACAAATCTTCGTATTTTCCCATTACTCAGCCTCAAAAGCAATTTTTATTCCTAACTGAAGGCCTCAAGCAAAGACATGTGAAGCCATTTGAGAAGGAAGGTTTAAAAAATTCCCCCAAATTCCTCAAAGTAATTTACATTTATCTGTTTTGAATTAATACAGTATATTATATATAAGCTGATTTTTTTTCAGGTGCAAAAGACTTATTTTCCTGATAAGTCTAGGGGTAGGATTTCCAAGTCATTGTTTTCCTTCCTCTATATACTCGAGGTCTTTGCAACCAGGTATTACACAATCTAAGGGTGCTATCTGAAAAAACAAAAAACAGCAAGGGTATTTTATACTGAACTGTTAGACAAGGATGTCTTAAGATTGGAGAGTGCAGGTGAGGGAAGCAATGGGAGTCCAGAGCCACATGGCACAACGGAGGCAGATTCTAGCAGGCCCTCTTGCCACAGAAATCTGAGGAGCCCCCTTCTGTCTAACACCACTAGTGTAAGGTTCTGACTAGCTTACGTCCTTTTTGTCTTTGCTCTGTGATATGCAGCTGCTCTCTAGAAGGCAGAGAGGGATGGATATAACAGTTGAGAAGGACTAGGAATCTGTTGTGGCGCAAGGGGAGGGAGTCATTGGCATGCCTGGGAATCAAAACTACAGTGAGATACTAGGAATGATTAACAAAGCAATCATAGTTAGGGTGGAGCAAGATAGCTGGGAAAGAAAGAATGATGCTTTGTTTTCTATTTTTCTCTTTCTCTCAATGGGACTACTTGTGCTGAAAGTTAAGAACATGCATAAATCTTTACAGGATTGGGGCCTTAGACTGTAAGCTCCTTGGGGCAACCTGTGTTCTAATAGCTGTTCAATATAGCACACAGCGCACTGAACAATAAAAATAATAATCAAATCAAAGAATCAAATCCTTGTCCAAAGGACAATCAGAAATAGCCTGCAGACTACACAGCTTCTTCTGGGAACTCTGCAAATACCAATTGCTGTCCAGTCTCTGTGCAAATAGTGTTACCTTGAATCTACAACTACCTGTGAACTCTCTGGAATGAGACAATATCTTATCCAACATTATCTCAATGATAGTTGCATTAATTTTGTGCACAGCATGACATAAGAACTTCAAATAATAAAATGAACAAAAGATAGTATCTCCCCGTTTAATTCACACAAATGCATGGAAATACAACAAGGGTGAATTACCAGATAACCTCTTTCCACTCCACTGATGGCTACATGGGGTTTGGAATGCACATTAGATGGGTTTGCTGACAGACTGAGGTGGATGTAACTCTTAGCTTTGGTTTGCAATTTTGCCTACTTCTCTTTATTGCCATGTCTCTTGCTAATGTATTACACTCATTGTTTACTTCCAGACTTAATCAGCCTCATGGACATAGAAGTGGCAGCAAACTACCCCTCAATATGCACATAGATCTTTTTCAAAGCACTGTACGTGTGGGTTCCCTCTTGGTAGTCTGAGAGAAACCATGAGTACAATGACTTCAGGGCATTATCCAATTCCTGGAACCTCAACTACATTGCAGAGCAATGCATCCTAAGGGCTTTTTGTTGGTTTACACATAATACATTTTATCCTTTTTTCACAGTAGCGAGCTTGCAGTTCATGTAAATTAACACATTCTACAGATTCTTCCATGCCCACACAATGCTCATAAACTTGATGAGTAACTCCAGAACAGGAGTTTGCAATCTTTTCCAGACTGAAAGCCATATTTTTTTTTTATCTGTTGTCATATGTCTGAGAATGAAAGGGGTCAGCTAATATTTCCATGTGACCTGGCCAGCATATTTGAGGTCCAAAGCTTTTAAATCTGCCAAAAAATATAAATAAAAGGAATGTTTAAAAATGGGGGGGAGGGAGTCTAAACCTTTGAAGTGATGTGTTTTTTAAAAAAAGAAAAATATTTCAAAAAAGTTATAGGAAAATTACAAACAAAGGAAAATCTCAAAAACCATGGCCAAAAACAAATACAAAGCTACAGGGGAAAAAAAAGACGTGCAAAAGAAAAATACCAAACTCAAAAGAATAAAAATATCCAACAAAAAACAAACAAACAAAAATTCATCTGCCCTCCAAACCCACGTGCATATGCAGCCCCCTCCACTTGACAGAGAGAGAATAAGAAAGAAAGAAAAAAGAAAGACATAAGCACAAAGAACATTGAGAAGAGAAAAAGAGAGGAAGATGAATAATAGGAGTTCAATAGGTAACACAGTGCTAGTACCAGTACCAAAGATATAGTTACCTCTGAAGGCACTGCATGATGACCCTGATCGAGCAAAGCACTTAAGCATGTGCTCAAATGTAAGCACTCAAGTACTCCCATTCAATTCAATGGATCAGGACCAGAGCACCCAGCACTCTACAGAAACAAGCTTCTACTCCTCAAACCACATGTTGCCAAATCCTGCTCTAAAGGGTGTGCAAACTAACATTTGAAACAGAAGTCAATTGAAGAAATGGACAAAAAGCTGGTCTTTATGTTACAAGAGCATCTCTAATTTTTAAAGGACTCTCTCTTGCTTTCCAACATATATGGCCATCCAACATCTTGACAGATGAAAGGAGATGTGACAAAGTCAGTCTGTCAGTGGTGCTTAGCAATGATATCAGAAAAGAGCCCGATGCGTGAGTGGCAAACCTTCCCACTCTTCAGATGGAAATTGAAGCATACTCTGCTTCCTGGCTCGCCTGGGCTCTCTGATGGCTCTCCGCAGTGACTGCACCAGTCTAAACCCAGCTTCTCCAAACTGAACTATTGTGGGCAGGATTTTCCCAGCTGTCACTAGGAATGCTGAATTTCTTGAGGCCTTGCTTCACCTTGTCACTGTAACAGTGTTTTGGACTTCCTCTGCATCGTGAGCAGTTCTTAAGTTGTTCATAGAGCACAACCTTTGGGAGACGATCTTGAGGCATGCACTCCATGTCTCCCAACCAGCAAAGCCTGCGAGCGTCCAGCATAGTCTGCATAGACTGTAGGCCAGTTCTGTCAAGGATGTCATTATTAGTGATTCATTGGTGCCAAGTAACTCTAAGGATTTTTCTAAGACAGTGGAGGTGGAAACTTCAATCTCTGCTCCTGCTTGGAATACGCAACCCAGATTTCACAAGTGTGAAAGAGGGTACTAAGGACACAAACCTGATAAACAGATACCTTTTTGTTCAGGGTTAGCAACTTGTTACAAAGACTTGAGGTAAGTTTGCCAAAGGTAACTTAAGCTTTGCTGATTTTAGCATCAAGTTCCCTATCAAGGTTAAGTGAACTGGTAAGAATTGCGCCAAGATAGCAGAAGTGATCCATGTTGTTCAACATACAAACATGTATATTTTATAATCTACTGTATTGTCTTAGTTTAGTATCCCTGACTTAAATAATACATACATGACAATCTGGTGTTATGATTGCTAAATTATAAAGCCTGGTATCTATTTTTGTCTTTCAACTTATGCAGATATGTATATGGATATTGTGAAAAACCTGGCTTGAATTTAGAGGGAGTGAAGCAGACAAAAAGATAGCACAGACTATTCAGGTAATTTTGAAATGTAAGTATACAGACATCAAGGGACTCTGAGATCATCACAGTAACCACAAGAGGGCTGTGATTTATGAGGTCATGAGAAGCCAGAAATGGCTTAGTAGACTTTTCTCAATTTTCCTGCATTGTATTCTTCATATATATTGAGTAAGACCACAAATAAAAGTCATTTTTCTAACCTTGCACAGCTTACAACTAAAAAAAAGAAGAGAAAAATAATCTAAAAGGGAGATCATTACAAAAAGGTGAATGTGCTAAAGCATAAACACCTTATAGTTTGGAAAACCTTTTTCTAATTAAAGTTTCAAAAGTTACCACAAGAATACCTCAACACCATTTTGGACTTGCTCCCCAGAACATTCAAATAGACATATAGCTAAAAGCATATAATACTACTTTGCACTTCCATAACAGTTCCTATTAAAGGTCTCACAATATTTCACAAACTTTAGTTAATCCTTACTACTTCCCCTACAGATTAGCCCCCTTTTACAGACTGGAAAAATTGCAGCTCTAGTGGCCCAAGTTCACACAGCAAGTTGATGACAGAACCAGGAATAGAAGACATATCTCCCACTTCCTCATGACATGCTCTAAATATTAAACTAGTGAAAACAAAGGGCATAATTCTCCATTCTGTCACACCAATATTAGACTAGCATAACACCACTTCCAACACAGTAACACTTTAATAACAATGCTTCTATAACTTCAGTGATTCACTACTTATAAAGGGCAAATTCAAGACCGTTACCACTGTGCAGCCACCAGAATGAAAAAGTCACAACTCTCAGAACTCATTCTATTTTGGTTTATTTTTTAAAAACATACCCCTTATTTTATTGCATTCCACACCCTGAAAAACATTCCTGAAAAACTAAAAACGCTTCAGTTACTGCACAGCGATAAAAGATTTCTCTCTTCACCAACATTAAATAAAAAAGGCTAGTGAGCAATTTTACACAGACACAAAGAGCGCCTTAAGCACACCACCCTTATGCACTCAATGAACACTGCTGGTGGAAACACAACAGAGCAATCCATTAATGGTCAGATTTTACCTGAGAGGAATCTGCCTTGGCTATATCCACAGTAGCACTCAGTACTCCACGAAGACACTCTCCATTTTCTTGAACCAGGAGGTAAGCAAGTAGAAGGAAAACATGAGTGGGGACTTGATTCATAATAGGTAGCAGTGATTTAATGGAAGACAACCAAGCAAGCACGGCAGACTTCTCTTTCATGTGGTCTAGGATCCTCCAGGTTGTATACAATAAATTGTACGTACTGGTTATAGGAAAGATGACCCTGCAGGATGACTGGAAAACACAGACAAATTAGTACCATGAAAGATTAAGTCCAAATCTTGAAAAACAAAAAAGTAACAAATCCAAATTTTTCCCACCTAAACTTTTTGTTTGAGATACCCTATTCCTTAAAGAAAAAAAATTAAATTAAATCACTAAAGCTCTCTTTTTTTACTTGCTTGTCCATGGGTTCTGCCACTAAAGAGCAATATGATTCAAATTAACTGTTTTGAAGTTCCCCTCTGCTTAGCAGCAATCATCACTATTCCTGCTGATAATTATGGTTCTATTTCCCAATTGAAGTGGAAACAATGAAACTGGAGTATATTAAAAGTACCTTTTTCTGACAAAGTGCCTGCCATTTTGGAGACTGCATCATGTTGCTTTAAACTGCCAGGTTATGAATTGAAAGAGAAAATGTAAGTTACTTGTGACCTGTTATGCTTTTGGTTTACTTTTTTGCATTTCATCCAGCTTTGGACAATAATACTAAACTAACCAATGTTATTTTTCAGTTCTCGTGATCCAGCACAGGTGTAATTGTGTAATATTTGGGTTGGAAATAACAGAGAAAGATAAAAATCCCAACAAGAATCAGTTAACTATTTCTTTTTTTAAATCATGGAACAGTTTCAATGCATATTATTGTTAATTAAAAGACAACACTCATTCAGAACATAAATTACCTGACATGTTTTATTAAAACTGGATTCTCTTATAAAAGGAAATGTTTTCCAAGTGTTCTTCCACACCCAATTCTAGATTACAACTGAGAGGCAGCCTTAGGGGAGGAAGCATTTAGCTGCAATACATTTTATATATGAAGCAAGTAAGGAATGAATTTGAAAGGAGGTTTCCAGCTGGAAACTAGAAATTGACCCATAATTCAGACTCAGTCAGGGTCAGGACCTGTTCACTCTTGAATTTCCAAGTGGAAGAGATATTCTGAATGAGCAGCCATAGCAGTTCTACATAAATCTTCACACCTTAACTTTAATCACATTGTTTAATGTAATGTAAATTTATTTTGATTAATGAGAACTATAATGTCCCTGTACTTTAAATAACCTTTTTAGAATAGCATTTAAATTAGAATTAACTCTTACTCCAATATTTATTCCATCAGTTATTGTATGTGAAAAATTCAACAACCTGCAACCCACTGTTCCTTTGTCGGATGAGATCACTTAAAGCCAAATTCTCCCCTCAGATACACCCAGGGGGTCTCATTTACTTCAGCTGCTATCATAGAGGCTGATTTAAGATCAGAATGAGGCCTGATGAGAAAGTTCAGGATCTTTAGGTTCTATTGTTAGGGACCTAATCCAGCAGGATATTGGCTTACTTCAGCTCCCTCAGGCATCTGAAAATCAGGATCAGTCCCTAAGATGTAATTTCACCATAGCTGAAACCAATACTAGAATTGAGGGGCATAGGTGGTTATACCCACACCTCAAATTTCTCAAGCTGAAAAAAAGCTGGAACACCCTAAGTGTTTTGGAGTTTAGAAAGGAAAAATATATAATCACTGCCATTCCAGTCGGAGGACTGCCCTGGACAGAAATCTAACTGGGCAACTTCCACTGGAACTGTGCCAGCACTGACAGAAAATATACCCCTTACTGGCGGAGACAGATCAGTTTTGTTGTTGCATTTTTCAAAATATTTGAAAAAACAAAAAACAAAACCAGAGTTCAGGCATGTTTTCTACTGAATCCTGTGATTCAGAGACTGTTCTCTGGAGATGTGTTTGTTTTCCTTACCATTAAACAGCAGGAACAGTAGTAACCTACACAGGCATATAACATTCTCTCACAATGACTTACTCCCTTTCTGACACATTGTTCTCTTGGGAAGAGAGGGGAGGGAGTCTCAGCATTTAATCGGAACAATTTCATTTGTATTTGTGCATTTCACTGAAATGAACAATGACTGTGGTGGTAATAATTTCTACATAATAACTATATGCAGTGGAGCTGGAAAAATACAAGCCCTTATGTTACAATGATTCTCCTCCCCTCTAGAGAATCATGTCCCTTTCCCCTTCACATTTTTGGGAGTGCTATTGTTTATTCATAGAAAATTTGCCAGAAAGTTTAGTCATGGCTAGTATTAACATTTAGCAGCTCAGTATTTGTTTGCTGCACTCTGACAAAGTGTTCCATGTTGCATTGTACAAAGACTATGACAGGACTCCTGTCCCAAGGGTTTACAATCTCATTTAGACAGGCAGTACAGACGCAGCATACATGTGCCAGTGCCTTTTACTGAATGAAGTAATTGCTCAGTTGTATGTCATAGTAGTAAAGGACCTAACTAATGGAGATTCTTCTATCTTAAGTGGTAAAGGCTTCTGCTGTCAGAGAAGGAGGATTCAAGTTGTAGCCCCATGTTGCTACGATTTGTGAGCAGCAAAGCAGAAGTCAAGTAGTTGTAAGTGCCCACAAACTGGTTACAATATACTAGGTGGGCAAAGAAGGATCTCATTTCATGTTTAATATTATTGATTGATTGAAAAATTGTGTCTGTGGTGGCACATTACTGAGGCTTTGCTGAACGAGAGAATTTATAGGAGTATGAATGGAGAGAGGATTCTGGTTCAGAAAAAGCAACCCTGTCTCCAGAAGAGGGGACAGCCCAGAAAAAGACTCAAAGAGGCGAGTGAGAGAAAGATGAAGGGAGCTGGTAAGGTTGTGCAGAGCAAAGAGGGATTCTCTGATTGTGAGCCCCTGGAGGCAGAGACTGTTATTTTGTTACAGCATCTGCCACAGTGGAGTTCTAATTCTTATTGGGATCTCTGAGTACGAAGGCAGTCTGCTTGTTAAATCACAGGAAGAAAGGAGAGCAGAATAGCAGGCACGAGCAGACGTAAGTAAAACCTTGAGGGCCTGTACTAGGAACCTCACTGATACAAGAGGAGACGGTTACCAGTTAAGGATCAAAGAAGGGATGGGATGTGGTCTGGAAGGGAAAATGCTATTCACAGAAGCATTCTGGGTGGGCTGGAGGACAGAGATTAGAAGCTCAGAGACCTAGCAAATTAGAGAAGTTGAGGCAAGAGATGAAGACGACACTGAAAAGGGTTTTCCCTGTAGGAACAGAGCATAAAGCACGAAAAAGAACACATGTGGAAATTCCATTAAAGATTATATTCTGTTAGGGATTTGACTCTGGTGCACAAATTCACCAAGCATGTGGGAACACTAAAAAAAACTACATTCCTGGTCCTGAAGTTAAGAAATATCATATCATCAAGGCACTATTTAAGTCCATAGTACACCCACACCTTGAATACTGCATGCAGTTCTGGTCACCCCATCTCAAAGAAGATATAGTAGAAATGGAAAAGGTACAGAGAAGGGCAACAAAAATGATCAGGGGTATGAAACAGCTTCCATATGAGAAGAGATTAAAAAGACTGGACTGTTCAGCTTAGAAAAGAGGTGACTAAGGGGGAATATGATAGAGGACTATAAAATCATGAATAGTGTGGAGAAAGTGAATAAGGAAGTGTTATTTACCCCTTGACATAACACAAGAACCAGGTTTCATCCAATGAAACTAACAGGCAGCAGCTTTAAAACAAACAAAAAAGTAGTATTTCTGCACACAACACACAGTCAACCTGTGGAACTTGTTACCAGGGGATGTTGTGAAGGCCAAAACTATAAATGGGTTCTAAAAAGAATTGGACAAGTTCATGGAAGACAGACCTATCGATGGCCATTAGTAGCCCTATGCTCTGGATGTTCCTAAGCCTCTAACTGCCAGGGGCTGGGACTGGTGGGGAATGGATCTCTTGATAATTGTCCTGTTTTGATCATTCCCTTTGAAGCATCTGGCATTGGCCACTGTCAAAAGACAGGATACTGGGCTAGATGGACCATTGGTCTGACCCAGTACGGCCATTCTTATGTTTTTAAGAACTACAGGTTATCACACATCTCCATAGCTCATCAGCCAGTACAGTAACCAGGTTTCTGGAACCTTGAGGAGAAAATCTGTGATACAAGTCCTTAAAACATCTCCCTAGGACAGGTGCAAGCAAACTTTTTGGACTGAGGGCCGCATCGTGTTACCAAAATTGTATGGAGAGCCGGTTAGCGGAGGCTGTGCTTCCCCAAACAGCCAGGCATAGCCTGACCCCACCCCCTATCCGACCCCTCCTGCTTCTCGCCGCCTGACGGCCCCCCCGGAACTCCTGCCCCATCCAACCCCCCAGTTCCCTGTCAGCCCCCGGAACCCCTGCCCCTGACTACCCCCCGCCGCCCCATCCAACCCCCCCCCTCCTTCCTGACTGCCCCCTGGGGACCCCCGCCCCCATTCAACCCCCCTGTTCCCCGCCCTCTGACTGCCCCGACCCCTATCCACACCACCACCCCCTGACCACCACCCCGAACTCCCTTGCCCTCCATCCCACCCACCCCCCGCTCCCTGCCCCCTTACCGTGCTGCCTGGAGCACCGGTGGGTGGCGGCGCTACAGCCATGCCGCCCAGAGCACCAGGACAGGTAGCCATGCCGCCCGGCTGGAGCCAGCCACGCCGCCGCGCAGCACAGAGCACCGGGTCAAGCCCCGGCTCTGCAGCTGTGCTGCCCCAGGAGCTCGCAGGTCCGCCCCCCAGAGCATTGCACCGGCAGCGGAGCGAACTGAGGCTGCAGAGGAGGGGGAACAACAGGGGAGGGGCGGGGGGCTAGCCTCCTGGGGCAGGAACTCAGGGGCCAGGCAGGAGGGTCCCATGGGCCGGATGTGGCCCGTGGGCCATAGCTTGCCCACCTCTGCCCTAGGAAGATCTAGGGAGCCATTCACTACCAATACGATCTTGCCAGACTAAAAATAGTTAGAGGTATAAGATTTTAAAAGCTATAGAACATCTAAAACCTTTAGCTCAACTTGAGAAAATCCTTCACCTTTTGGAGCTTGGGATCCTGGGAGAGCACTTGAATGACTAGACAGTACAGCTCCCTTTACAGGGAACTGAAATTATTCCCTGTGATTGGAAGACATCTCTACTGATACCAGGCTAGGTTTCTGGCAGCTCTCATCAGGGGCAGTGCTATTTTTTTTGCTGCCCCAAGCACAGCAGTCAGGCGGCCTTCGGTGGCATGCCTGCGGGCAGTCCGCGGTCACGCGGATTTGGCGGTGTTTCTACGGCTGATTTGCTGGTCCTGCAGCTTCGGCGTACCCGCCACCAAACTGCCGCCGAAACCGCAGGACCGGCAGACCTCCTGCAGGCACACCGCCGAAGGCCACCTGACAGCCGCCCTCACAGCGAACGGCATGCGGCCCCCCTGCAGCTTGCCACCCCAGGCACATGCTTGCTGCGCTGGTGCCTGGAGCCGCCCCTGGCTCTCACCTATCCTCAGAACATTTGGATGGAGGTTTTCAAAAGGAGGCTGGATAGTCATCTGTCTTGGATCATTTAGACAACAAATCCTGCATCTTAGCAGGGGGTTAGACTAGATGACCTTTGCGGTCCCTTCTAACCCTATGATTCTGTGAACACATAGATGGAGTCTAGAGGAGAGCAACAATAATGATAAAGCATTTTGAAAACCTGATCTATGAAGAAAGGTTAAAAAAACAGGCATGTTTAGTCTTAACAAAAGAATACTGAGGGTGGACCTGAAACCAGCCATCAGGTATGTTAAGAGCTATTATAAAGAGGATGGTGGTCAGTTGTCCTCTATGTCCACTGAAGGTAGGACAAGAAGTAATAAGCTTAATCTACAGGAAGGGAGATTTACATTAGATACCAAGAAAAACTTTCTAACTGTAAGAGTAGCTAAGCACTAGAATAGGTTTCCAAGGGAGATGGTGGAAATCCTCAGCACTGGAGGTTTTTAAGAACAGGCTGGACAAATACTTGTCAGGGACGATCTAGGTTTACTTGGTCCCGTCTCAGTGCAAGAGACTGGACTTGGTAACTTCTCAAGGTCCCTTCCAGCCCTACATTTCTATGATTCTGTGGGAGAGGGAGGGAGAGTTCTCAGACTCAAGATCCTGCATCAGTAAATAAGAGGGGAGCAACAGGAAGTACAAAAAGATTCCAAGATGATCAGTTGACACCATAATACACCTCTACCCTGATATAACGCGACCCGATATAACATGAATTAGGATATAACATGGTAAAGCAGCGCTCCGGGGGGGCGGGGCTGCGCACTCCGGCAGATCAAAGTTCGATATAACGCGGTTTCACCTATAATGCAGTACGATTTTTTGGCTCCCGAGGACAGCGTTATATTGGGGTAGAGGTGTAGGTGGTACTTTTATGCCCCCTTTGCCTTTGTTCTCCCTCTCTTTCCCCAACAAAGCAGAAAGAGAAGAAAAGATTGGTGGTTGATGAGACTATACTGTTACAAGGAAGGGGATGAATAAGAGTACCATAAGCAAGAGTCTGAAGGAGGCAAAAGTTTAGCATTCTATTGAGGGCTTCCTATTTGGCTAACAGCACAGGATGAAAATGTACTAATACCCTTAAATCTGTATGAGCTGATATACGGCTGTAAAAAAAAAAAAAAAAACCCACCACAGGTAGAAGCAATGCGCAAGCGCAAAATTAGTTTTTGCTGCCTTCCTAGCACTTTCCATTTTACTCATCTGTAATACGTTTTGACAGTTTCCATGTCAAGTTTAAAAAGAACACACACGCGCGCACACACACACACACACACACACACACACCACCTTTAGCAGTCTCTAATGTAAATTACTGCATGTAACAATGCAGAGAAACTTATATCCCCCCAACCCAATCTGCCCCAAAAGGGAAGAGCATTAATTAAATCTTTACCAATTTCTTTTTATCCTTTGTGCCTTCCTGCTGTACCATTTCCAGAAGATTTATAGCCAGCTGTTGCCTAGTGGGGCCAGAATCTTCCTCCGATATACAGTCCTCAACTGCTGTTGAAGATAAGATCTGCAACACAGGCATCACCAAGATGATGGCTGTGGCTGGAATTTTCTGAGTTTCTGTACAGGAAAGGAGCTTGCAAGCTATTTGAGCAAAAGAAAAAAAATTAGGTAGAAAAAAGAGTTATGCTTTTCAGTATGACACACATTTTCTAGCAAACACTCTGGTCAAGCACAGTAACAGTCCCCAAAAGAGTTGCGATAGATATACATTGCACTGCCACAGTGCAAACTACTTTCCTGATAAGGACCACATCACCAAATGTACATTTCATGCCCTTTATACCAAGCCACCTGAGCACCTTACATCAATAAACACAGAAATGGAATATAACAGAAACCCCAGCTTGTTAATGTAGCAGCAGGAAAAGTCTATTCTCTATTACTAAAACAACAAGTCAAAAGCCCAGCCAAACAAACAATCTATACGCTCTGCCCTCAAGACTGTCAAACATGAGATCAGAAGAACTGTCAGAAGTAACAGGTTCAGGAGGCCTGAACCCTGTGCAAAGGTTATCCTGCTGGCTGGAAAAATTTAAACCTCTATACAAAGGCAGAACAAGCCAGCAGATTCTAACATCCATGACAGGAAACAGGAGGGGGAAAAGATCTCTTTTCACCTTTGGCTCCACTATATCAAACTTTTACTTTTTATTAACAAAAAATTACAGCTTAATACAATGAGCATTCCAATCACTGCACCTAACTTCAAAGACTGACTACAAAAAGACAATGTCTTAAATTTAAGGAAACAAAACAAACAGGAAACCATGATCTTGGAAACTGGATATTCCAAGTAGAACTTTACCTAGGTTTAAGATGGGTTTCTGCTGACATGCTGGAGTCTGTAACAGAAGTAAAGCTAATCCAAGTATGGCCTGTTCAACTGGAAAGTCCTGAAGAGGTAGAAAAAAAATGTTGTTTGAAGACTTCAGTTTTGAGCCAGATGGGGTGTGGAAATAAACAAACATATCAATATTGCAGGTCTTTTTTACGCACACAGTATATACTGAACACAGTGTACCTGTTCAAACCTCATAATTTAAAAGCAGCAACCTTTCAATAAAGATAATCATCTGGAAAGCATGAGCTTCAATACAATTCAAGTCTTTTATTAAATAGCCACAAGATTCTGATTAGTTCCTCTGTAATTTGGTTTAACCTATACTGGCCAGCTCCCTACACTACAGTCTACATTGAATCTAACCAGTCAGCACTAAAACATAGTAGTCGATATATGGGGACTTCATAATTTTAAATTTTCTGGCTTTTTAGGTTTTGCAACGAAGAAACAACAACAACAAAATTAAACTCAGGCTTCATTTATTTACCATAAGCAAACACTATGGTAAAAGCCTTATTAGTTTAGATAAAACAGTTCAATGTCTATGTACTCTACATAGGCCTAGAGATCTTCAAAAATGGGTGCCTAAAGTTAGGCTCCTAAGACCATATTCTAAGGACCTAAATAAGTACCTGGATGTCTAAAGTGCTAAGTATCCTCTGTTGATGTCAGTAGGAGCTTCTGGGTAATCTGCATTTTTTAAAAACACGCGCTTACTTAGATCCCTTAATATGGATATAGAAGCCTAACTTTAGGTATCACCATTGGGGAGGGGCTGGGAGGGGGGGAAATTTTATCCATAGTACACAAATCTCTGTGAAAATACTGAGCCTGAAGCAGTGAAATTCACAGACAGTGGCAACCTGAACTCTACAATGGTCAAACTATGCTCCTAGATCATGTTTCGAATAGGATGGAGTGATTTTCTCTAGGTAGCAAAAAACCTTTGTCGCTTCAAAATAAAGCTACTTCAACATTAATAATGAAAAGTTATTTAGATTTCCAATACATTAAAAGTTATTGCGAACTGTTTTAGACTTATAGCCCGTTTTTTTAAATGCATTAGGCTCCTAAGGCAATATTTAGACACCAAACGTTGAGATTTAAAAAAGCACCTATGCAACTTAGGAGCACAAGTCCCATTGACTTGAAACTGCAAACCCTGATTGAGGATTAACAGCCTGATCAAAACATTTCAGATTTCTTAACTTGTAAAAGTTCAGAATATTGGAAGACGGTGCTTGTTGCAAATACAGAACATGCTATTTGCTTATGAATTTTGGATTAACTTTATGTTGGTCTCACAGTGAGGTTAATGAGAACCTCTGATTGACTTTTTCAGCACAGATGAGCATTTTAAACAAAGATTCTTAGCAAGAAAAAATAACTGCATGTATAGATCCACTTTGAAAGACCACCTTTAAAATGGCAACAATCTTTCCATTTAATGTCGCTTTTTGTATCTTCTCCCAAATCCTTACCTCTTGCAAGAACTCAACATTTTGCTCTATTAAGCAAATTGTAGATGAACACTCCCCTGTCACGTTCAGACAAATCTCACAGAAGCACAAAATCTGCAGACAAAGCTGGGATAACTGGACTTTCCAAAAAACAGGGTAGCGAAGCAGACTCCGGAATAATTCTTCTAGAAAGAACAACGTTTCCGTTATTTGTGGCAAGTCCTTTATCTGTAGAGAAAAAGAGATAGCTTAAACACATACACATACACACACACACACACACACACACACACGTACTTTTGTATTTATTTTTCTTCTCTCTTAAAAGATGTGTGGAAGAGTTTCAGTTTCTATAGTTGGTCCTAAGAGTTGTATAACTTTTTCATTGCAAACTTTTCTAAGAACATTGCAAGAAACACATTCAGAGATAAACTACCAACCCTACCATTGAAAGAGACAAGCCTATCTGCAGTTTGAAACTCAGCAGTAAAATCAGACAAAAACTTAAAGAATTAACAAGCACTGCCCTTTTCCTTAAGAGGGACGACAAACAGACATCCTTGGTTTTGGGTCCTTCGTTCCTGATTTGCTACTGCATGCAATTCAATTCCTGAGCTTCTCTGGGATAGTGATTGCCAAATGGAACAAGCGGCGTAGTGGTTTTCTAATGCTGAAATGTTCTTATTATTGAGAACCCCCACCCCAAAATTCACTTTTCTTATTATCTAATCTTGATTCCAACTTCAGTCTCCAGAGATATCAGGTCAGTATCTTATTCCCCTGAACCACCATGTAAGTTTATCTACAGAAAAAAATTGCATTTGAGTGTCTTGACCAAAAGTGTCATTCTATATTTGGAACCAGTGCAGAAGAGGATTCAAATGGCAGGGTGCCTCAATAAATTAATGTTAGATAAGAAAGATGTTCTGCTCTTGAAAATTCCAATTCCAAGCAAACCCAGCTGTTCTGATCAAAATTCTGGAGCTGGTGTTATGAATATGGTTTTGATCTCATCCACATTGTCATTTATTCCAAGGGATTAAGAACAATGAACCATCTGCTCTAATCAGGCGCCTTGTGTCTGCTGAATTCATCAAGAGGAAAGTCTGCAGGTGACCAGCTGAACCTTTCACCAGTGGTTGCCACCATAAGACAACAAAATGATTATGAAACATTTCAGCATTTATGCAATACACGTTAGCAGGACTAAACAAGGGGCAAGATAAAGAAAGGATAAAAAGGGCTTGGGGATTGGAGGAGGAAGAAAGGACAGGTTATGAAAACAAGCTTATGAGTTCTTGGGCCAAAGATTTTTCTAGCTGCAGTGAAAGATACACTGTGGACAAGGGGACAGTGAAGAGAATGTAAAGCTTAGTATACATTTAAGAAAATAAAAGTGATTTCTAGCAAAACAAACTTCACTCCTATAGTTGTGTGTTTTGGTTTTTGGGGAATAAAGCAGGTTCATAACTATTTTTCTGAGAAGTTTCCTGTGTCCCTTTTGAAGTCTATTAGCATCCTACAATCTTTAATGTATTTATCCTCACTGCACCTAATATTCCCATTTTACAGACAGGGAACAAAGGCACAAAGAGGCTATGGCCATGTCTACACTACAAAATTATTTATGTCATCATACAGTCACCACAGTTATTAAATTTCTTGTACATACACACTTGGCTCCTTGTGTTGGTGGTGCGTGTCCTCACAAGGAGCACTTCTATCAATTGTATTGTCAGTGTGGAGATTGTGGGATGGCTCCTGAAAGCCAGTAACAGCCAACGTAAACAATTCAGTGTCTACACTGACGCTATGTCAATCCAATTATATTGACACCGACTCTACACCACTTGGGGAGGGGGTGTCACTACATAGGCACAGAGAGGCACTTACATGGGTGGGATCCAAATTTACGAGAAGACACTTCCACAGCTAGGTTGATGCAAGGCAGCTTACGTTGACCTAACCATGAAGCATAGACCAGACCTAAGGGAGTTGCCAAAGCTCACCCAGGAAGTCTGTGACGGAGCAGGGAAGTCCCTCCCGCATCGCCTGAGTCTCAGGCTTGCAACCTAACCACTGGACCATTCTTCCCCTCTTCTCCTCAATGAGCTATGGCTGAGATTTTGAAAGAGGCCCAAGACAATTAGGCACCCTACTTTGCACTGAATTTCAGTGAGAAGTAGGCCCCTTTGACAATCCCAGCCTACACAGAGTACAGTTGTGCCTTCCGGTATACAGTCCCACTGGCTTCAGAGAGTGTCACACTTATTTATGTAAGGGCAGAATTTGTGTTATCTTATTAAAACACAAGAACTTTGTATAGCCCATTTCACATTTTAAAACCACCCATCCAAATTCAAGTGTTACGAGTTTTCTCAAAACAGCTCATGATGTTGAGAACTAGCTGTAAAAAAAGGTTACCTACCTTTCATAACTGTTGTTTTTCAAGATGTGTTGCTCATGTCCATTACACTCTAGGTATGCGCGCACCCACGAGCGCAGCCGTTGGAGATTTTTGCCTTAGTACCAGTAGGGCTGGCTGTGGCGCCCTGTGGAGTACCGCACTCATGCCTCGGAATATCAAGTGCCGCCGGCCCTATGCCCTCTATGTTCCTTCTTGCTGACAACTCCGACAGAGGGGCAGGAGGGCAGGTAAAGGAATGAACATGAGCAACACATCTCTAAGAATAACAGTTACAAAAGGTAGGTAACCATTTTTTCTTCTTCAAGTACTTGCTCATGTCGATTCCATTCTAGGTGACTCAGAAGCCGAATCAATGGAGGTGGGCTCGGAGTGCCCAGTCTTGCAACTTGCATCATTGCTCTGCCAAAGCCAGCATCGTCTTGACCCTGCTGCGTAGTGCGACGCGAACGTGTGGACGGACGACCAGGTCGTGGCCCGACAGATCTCTTGGATCAGCACCTGTGCCAGGAAGGCCGATGATGATGCCTGCACCCTAGTCGCAGGAGCTGTCACGATGGCTGGTGGGGACCCCTTTGCCAGCTCATAGCAAAAGCGGATACAGGCCGTGATCTAAGACAAGATTCTCTGGGCTGATACTGGGCAACCTTTCATCCCATCAGTGACAGCAATGAACAACTGCATTAACTTACGGAACAGCTTTGTTTTATCAATGTAGAAGACCAGTGCCCGTTTGACGTCCAGGGTATACAGCATCGCATTAGGCTTTGGATAAAGGACTTGTAAGTAAATGTCTTGACCAGGGTGGAACTGGGCGATGATCTTGGGCAGAAAGGCAGGGTGCAGAGGCAGCTGGACCTTGTCCTTATAGAAGATCGTATTGGGTGGCTCCAATGTTAGTGCCTTGATCTTGGGCACTCTACAGGCCGAAGTTATAATGACCAAGAAGGAGACCTTCCAGGAAAAAGGCAGGAGGAAGCAGGAAGCCAACGGTGCAAAGGGGGGAGCCTTGACAGCACAAGATGCAGGTCCCAAGAGGGGACCAGGTCCCAGACATGCAGGTAAAGGCACTCTAGACCTTTTAAGAAGCATGCCATCATGGGATGGGCGAAGACCGACTGGCCTTGAAACGAAGGGTAGAACACCAAAATGGTCACCAGGTATACCTTGATCGAAGATGGTGACAGACCCTGGAGCTTAAGGTGCAATAAATAGTTCAGGATGTCCTGCAGTAGGGCCTCTTCTGCACAAATGTGTCAGTCCGAGGCCCAGCACGTGAACCGCTTCCACTTTGCCACATAGGTAGCCTTGGTGGTCGGTTTTCTGCTGCCCAGCAGGACCTGTTGGACACCAGCGAAACACTCCATTCATCCATACGCAGCCATGTAGCAGCCAAGCTGTCAAGTGCAGCGATGCCAGGTTCGGGTGCAGCAGGTTGCCATGGTTCTGGGACAGCAGATCTGGCAGAAGCGGTAGCTGCAATGGGGTGGCTGCTGAGAGATTCAGCAGCACGGCGAACCAGTGTTGACGAGGCCATACTGGGCTATGAGGATAACAGACACTCTGTCTTGCTTCACCTTCAGCAGTACCTTGTGGATCAACGGTACTGGTGAGAAGGTGTACATCAGCGCTCCCGACTACAGAATCAGGAAGGCGTCCGACAGGGAGCCCTGGTCCCTGCTCCACAGAGAACAGAACAGGTGACACTTTCTGTTATGCCTAGACGTAAACAGGTCTACCCGGGGAGTCCCCCACCTGCGGAAGATTAAGCAGACCACCTCTGGATGAAGCGACCATTCATGGCGAGACAAGAAGGTTGTGCTGAAGCGATCTGCCAGGATGTTCCTGATTCGCCTGATACGCCAGGAAAACTGCTCTGAGCTCCCTGACATTCAGGAAGGAGGGGTGGCCAAGAACTGCAGGGTATAGTCCCAAGCCACTATGTCCAAGATGGTAGGGAAAGAGGCGGTTAGGATTTGGTCAACTGACTGGGGCATCGTTCTTGGGCGCACCCTCAAAACCATCGCTTCCGGCCCCCTGGGTGTTTCACAGCCCCAGGCTGGGCTGGCGAGCGTGAGGAAGAAGGGTGATGATGACCAAAACTGGCATCTCTTCTTCTCGTAAAGCCCTGATGAGGTTGCCAGGGTCTTGGCAGTGGCGGTGGTCGAAAGGGCTTTCTGGCTGATTGCGGCTTGTGCATGCCCAACAAGCAAAGGCTAGCCCTAGTGTCCTTCAACCCGTGCAGCCTGGTGTCGGTCTGATCCGAGAACAGACAACTCCGTCAAAGGGGAGGTCCTGGATTGAGGCCTGCATCTCCTCAGAGAGGCCCGCTGTCTGGAGCCAGGAGTTGCCACCGCCGATGTGACCACCCTTGCTGCCAAGTCCACCGCGTCCCATGCCATCTGCAGGGAACATCTAGCCACCGCACACCACGGTGCCAAACTCTTGGGCCAGTTCCAGAGGGAGGGATCCCTGGAACTTTCTGAGACCGTCCTAGAGATAAAAATTGTACTAGGCCAGCAGGGCCTGATGGTTCGGCACAGAAAATTGCAGGCTAGCAGTTGAATAAATAAATAGAGTTTCTTAGCCTCTTTGTTTCTGGGAGACGAGGAGGTGGGGACTTGCGGTACCAATGCTGGGGAGACCGGTACCGGGACAGGGAACTTTCCCACTGTGCTGGTGATCGGGATCGATGCCTAGAGGACGACCATCAAGAGAGTGAGAGGTGCCGGGAAGTAGCGCCGAGGGGATCGGGAAGTTCACCTGGGCAATCAACAACGCGATTGGGATCTGCCCCGGGATTCCAAACACAGCGGAGAAGATCGAAGTCTTCTGTCCGGCGACCAGTGTTGTTCCCCTGCTCCTGAGGGGTTTTAACAGTGGGCTTGTCCTCTTGGGGAACCTTAGCCAGGTCCTGCGGCACCGGGGTCTTCATTGGAGCAGGTGGAGACCTGTGCTCTCTCTGCACCAGGGGAGCCTGGGATGATGAAGGTGCAGGCAGGAGTGTGGGTCCCATACTGCTCCCAGGAGTCGGTGGCGGACTTTTAAGGGGGCTGGGAGCCTCAACTGGGGAGGCATGATTGCATGGACCCGGAGTAGCCTGGTGGGGAGGCCGAGGTCCCTTGCTAGATGACTCCTGGGCCTTCTTGCTCAGTACCCAGGAGCACTTCTTGGCCTTCTTCTTTGGCAACGGTGATAGTGAACGATGCCAGGAGGAGTCGGGTGCCAGTGCTGCGCTGTGCACGGAAGCTGAGGCACTAGGTACGACCTGTCTGGACAGCTTTGAAGCCGGGTGGAGGGTGGACTCTATCAGGAGAGTCCTGAGATGGATATCCTGCTCCTTTTGGGTGCAGGGCTGAAAATTTTTGCACATTCGGCACCGCTCCTTAACGTGTGATTCCCCCAAGCACTTAAGGCAGCTGCCATGGGAGTCACTCACAGGCATAGGCCTGCTGCAGTCCGAGCAGAGCTTAAACCCGGGAGACCAGGGCTTAAACCCGGGAGACCAAGGCATGTCCCGCCTGGGGCAAAGTCCTGCTGGGACCCTATCTACTAACTAACACTTAACAACTACTTAACACTATCAAATGCGAACTATGTACAACGGCCCTAAGGCGCGAAGATCAGAATGGTAGAAACCGCTAGCTCTTGCTCAGCAAGAAAGGCACTCCGACCGACCACCACAGGCAGTAAGAAGGAATTGAGAGGGCATAGGGCCGGCAGTGCCTGATATACCGTGGTATGAGCGCGGCACTCCAAAGGGCGCCACAGCCAGCCCTATGAGTACTGCTAAGGCAAAAATCTCCGACGGCCACGTATTTGGGCGCCCACACACCTAGAATGGAATCAACATGAGCAAGCTCTCGAAGAAGAACAGCAGACCGTGATTGGTTCAGGACAATAACATTCTGTCTCTCACATTCTGCTCTCCCAACTTAAACTATATACAAGGTCATCAGCATCATTAGTTACTATCACACACAACACTTGTTTCCAGTTAGAACTCGCATGGTCAGATTTGATCACTTAAAAAAAATTATATTACCTTCCCCGAGAAAGTCAGACTTTATCAGCTCTGGATTTCCAAGCTGCTGATCAAATCTAGTTTGGGGAGTTGGAATGCAGCATTGCATGTGAACACACAAAGGAGTAATACAATAACAAAGCTCCTTTAACAAAGTTTATTTGCAGAAGGCAGGGCCAAGCATTAAATTAACTTTTACCTGAAAATGTGGAATCAAGTCACAAAGCAGCTGAAGAATAAGGTGTTCTAGTGTAGAAGGTGCCTCTTTGTTCTCAGGACCATGTGGCTGAAGTAAGATTTTAAGTAGACCCATTCGCAGTTCAGCATTCTCCCCCAATTGGGACGGTTCACAATACAGGTATCTTAGAAATGGGGTCATTATACAGACACATGAACTCTGTGCCCTGCAGTTCAAAAATAAGTTTGCTGAGACCACTTACTAGTAAAAGTCAGCAAACAGTGAAACCCAAGCAGCATAACACTCACAGCCTCTAATGGTATCAACATTGTGCAGGATGTATAGTAATTATGAGAAGACACCATGAGAGTCATTGCTAAATCCCACAATAAGCAGTAACAATTTGATTTACTGGCACAGAACAATATAATGAGCTCTTGTATAGTAAAGGTGCAATTAAAGTACTACTTCAACAAGGGTTGCTGCCTGGCAAAGAGTGTATCACTGTATTGTTTCATTGGATTCACTTTGCTAGAAACTCACAACTATACATTTAAAAAAAAAATCCAATTGTTGATCCATTTATGACTCTGTCTCAAAACTGGGAATCAGAATATTGGTTACAATGCCCAGATATTGTCAAATAATTAAGTACCTCCAGAAACCTTTTATCTTCTCCCATTCATGTCTCAAAAAAGTCAGTAATACATATAGATCACTATATTCTAGATCTATGATTTTATGCTATAAAAGCCTTTGGATAAAAAGTGGCAGGAACAACAGGACAAGTGGGTTCTTCTAAAGAATGCAGCTATTGTTAAAAAAAATTAACCAGTTGTCACTCCATATTCCCATTCATCACACAAAATACCTACTATACACCTAAATATATACTAAATACCATATAAAAGAAAGTGTTTCTGGCACCTTTCAATGTCACTGCAAATGTTGTCATTGATTTCAGTGGGAGGATCAGGATCATAATAATTTTGCATTCAATCTAAACCCTACTAAAGTTAATCAGAATTTCTGCACTGACTTCCAAGGACTTTGAATCAGGACTCGACTCCCTGACAGGTTATGAAAAGCTATCTGTGGCTTTCACCTTCTGCATACATTTTAAAATACTCTATTGTGATTTCAGTAGTGGAAAATGCATGTATTCATGACAGAACACATTCATTACTCAGGCATTACTCATTGACTTCAGCGAGAGTTTTGCCTAAGTAAAGATTGTGAGATTGGACCAAAAATGAAATACATTTTAAAATCTCCTGTAGTTATCTGCAAGTAACAAATTTATTTATTTTAATTAATTATAAATCTCTAGCTCCAGCTCTAGGTGTTATTGCAGTAGTTCCGAAAATTTCAAATAAAAACGTTTCCATGAAAAACAGAAACAATGTAATGTCAAATTTTCACAATACCTCCCTGTTTTCTGAGCTCTATGAATAATAAAAGTCATTAACATTTTAATAGATCAATATCAACTAAATTCCCAAACAGCCACCACCATCAGGCCACCCCATCAGAAAAAAAAAAATACAACTAAAACAAAACACTAAGACCCTGATTCTGCAAACTCTTATTCATCCACTCAACTTTATGTATGTGAGTAGTCCTGCTGACTTCAGTAAGTGTTGGCAGGATCATGGTTAAGGAAACAGACAGGCCTTATACCTTAAGAGTGAAATCCTGGTCCCACTGAAGTCAATGGGTGTTTTGCCATAGACTTTAATGGGGTCAAGGTTTCACACTTTTTCTGCTGCCCATTCAACAACCGATTATATCGCACCCACTTATGACAGGATTCTTGATGAACACTGAATTCCAGAATTTTCAGGTGACTGGAGGATCTGTCTTTCTAATATTTTGTTTTAAAATGATTCTACCTTTTTAATTTGACATCAACTTAAAACTCAAACTTCTGTTTGAAGATTTCTTAACTTCTATCATCATAAGTAACAGCTAACTTCACTATAAAATAAAGAGAATAAAGTGAAAAATATTTATCTTGAAAAATATTTCTCTTACCTCAGTTGTCTATTTTCTGCAACAGAGCACTATATTTAGTTAGTTAGTTTCACTGTATTACTAGAGTCAGTTCCCCTGTTTGTGAGTCTTTCACAAAGCAACAGAAAAATGACATTTTTAAAAAGATAAGGAAACATGTTTTGTAAAACTACAAAAAATGGCCAGTGGCTTAGGAGCTGGTAATAATACTTGATAGTGCTTTAAACTCATTTTTCAAGATTATTTGACACTGTCCTTTTAGCTCTTTATGTATATGTAAATGGTATGGATCTGTTTTTTAACAGACAATTTTTAAAAGAAGGCTTTGCAATTCAATTTTTTAAATAAAAAAGCAAGCATCTTCAAAAGCCACCATTTAAAATCACTATCATTTAAACTTAACAGAAAAAATAGCTTATAGCTATGGTACTAGGTTGCTGCACAATCCCAGAAAAAAAGATCCCACTTTACCTGCAATGAAGTCATGTTGTATAAAAGATATTCATGGACCTCGTCATTGGACAAACTGTGCTGTTATACAGCTTTAGCCATTAATATGTCAGCAATTGCCAAGTTATCACACAGTGACATTTGAGATTAACACAGTTTCTCCAGCCACACATCAGCAGGCACTTCTCATACTTCTGTGATAATGCTTTGCAAATGTTGACTTTTAAACGGCCTTCTGTTCAACATAGTCTTTCCCAAAAGAAAAAAATCAGCACTGAAGAAGGCAGAAAACTCCTAGAAACACATGAATTGCCACACCAGAACACACCAACTGTCCATCTATTCCAGTATCCTGTCTAACAGCAACAGTACCAGATGCCTCAAAGGAAAGTACCTGAAACCCACCGTGGACAGTAACCTGCCCATATGTACTCATGTCTCATTATTAGGCAGTTGGCTTGAGGGTTAATACTCCTACTTTTTACTTAGGTATCTAATGTAGAGGATTTTCTCATTGCCCATGTAAATAGCTACTCTTTTTCTAAGTCTTTCTGAACTCTTGGACTTAATGACGATGTCATAGACAGCAAGTTCCACAGATTCATTATGTGTTGTGTAAAATAAAAATATAATTGCTATTATCAGATTTAAATGTGAATGAACTGAACATCCTCCTGTGCTTGTTATGAGAAAGGTACATAGGAACATCTGATTTACCTTCTCTATATCATTCACTATTTTGTTTAACAGATGTCCCCGCTTGTCTCCTTTCTAAACTAAGCAGTCCCAATCCTCCTAAATACAAATTTTGTATCCAATTAAAATAGGGAAATAATTTTTTTGGTTGGTTTAGTGAACTATTAATTTTTCCATTAACATCCTCACTGTGGTAGATTTTCCGCCTGGGCTAGACCATTTCTGTGACAATCTTCCAAAGTTATCCTTAATATTTGGTTTCCATTATTACATGGTCTACAACAAAAGTGAATTAAATTTTTGAATTCAAAGTTTTTATCCAACAACGACCTTTTTTCAGAAACTACATTTTTCATGAAAAATTTGTGACTTTTTCAAATCGACGGCATCATCCAAAACATTGAAATTGTTATCAAAAATTCAGATACCATTTGCACAGCATTTTGAATAACTTTTACAATAACTATTTTGATTACAAAATTTAGCAATTTTAGATATTTAGAATTTTTCCAACACTCGGAAACAAAAAACTTTGAAATCTAATTTTTGGCTAAAAAATAACCATTTTTCAACCAGCTCTCGCTGACAGTATGTATTATTCAAAGAAATCTAAGGGTATATCTACACAGCAAAGAAAAACCTGCAGCTATCCCGGGCCAGCCAACTCAGGCTTGCGGGGCTGTTTCATTGCTGTGTAAAATTCCAGCCTCAGGCTGGAGCCTGGGCTCTGGGAACCCTCCACCCCACAGGGTTTTTCTTTGCTGTGTAGAAATACCCTAAGAAGTTTTTGTTGTTGTTTTTTAAAAACATACAACTATGTACTTTACCCTGTCACTTCAGCAAGCACTTCTTTGTGGAATTAGTACATGTTCTACAGACATAAACAAACAATTGAACTGTATTTGTTTTTTACCTCTCTGGACATTGCTGGAAAAATACTGTTATCTGCTGCAAGAGAACTGGCCAGCAATCAGGTCTGTTTTCAAGTACAGTGATTAGTGGATGAGGAGGATACCTGAAACACAGAGAAATCATATTTGGATCTGTAATGCAGGAGGCAAACATATGAGGTAACTATTTTCAAGATAACAGCTGTAGATGTACAAAATTTAACCTCTGCCTTTACCAACTTCCTTCACGATACTATACATCGAACTAGTATGTTTTTTGGGATCCCCTGGAAACAACATTCAAATGAACTGTTTATTAGCTACAGATTTAGGCAATGATTTTTTTCCACAGAGTGCTTATAGTTAAATTAATATGCCCATAAATAGGTCCCTAAAAATCAGGTAATTTATTTAAATACAGACAGAGGGAGATTTTCAGAAACACACAGGTATGTTAGGTGCCTAACACTCATTGATTTTCAGTGGGAGTTGGATGCTTAACTGCCCTTTGTGTCTTTGAAAGTCGCCCTCCACAATACTATCTTTAGGATCTCATATTTTAAATTCTTCGTCTTTATTGTCATAGAGCACCTTTCATACTTAAGGGATTCGTAAAGACTGTTTAAAGCAATGGACTTGGATACCAGAAGTGCACCAACTGATTAACCCATAAAAGGAGGCATTATCTGCTCAACAATAAGCGTGTCACATAGCACAGGATATTATAACATTTTAAAACAAAGCAAAACAAAGAAGCTCATAACGTAGGGGGGGGGGGGGTATTAAACCTCTCCCCAATTAAGGGGAGGCCTCCCCAAAATTAAGGTAATAGCCCAAAATACTCTGAAATGCTACAGGTACCTCAATAAGCTACAAATGACAAGACTAATTATTAAAGAAGAAAACATAAATCACTTAACACGAACAGGTGTAGGTTATGTGCTTTATATCTCCTATCCTCTGTTTGTTGTTGTTGTTGTTGTCTTTAAATAATTCTTCCAAAGATTTTTCCCCCCTATTACTTTACCAGTAGTACCCAGGCAAAAGTTCTGATCTGCACATCACCCAGCTCTTTGGAGTCTTTCAACTACATACATCTCTTCAGCGGGAGAGGCTGCCCAGAGTGGCTGGTCCACTGAAGCAGAAATTGCAGCTTCTCAAACCTGGTCTTTAAAGTCTGCCACCACTTTTGCTGCTTGACATATTACCAGACCGGAGGACTATTGGTGTATTAATACTTTTCTTTATTCTCCAGCCCATGACAGGGTCAGTTGTAGCTTTGATGGCTGGAGAGTAAATGATTTTACAGTCACCCTTTCCCAGCAAAAAACAAACAAACAAACAAAAATAAACCAGAGCCCGCCTAAGAACCTAAGCTTCCCAAAGGTGGCTAGCCCTTGACAAGACTCTTTGGCAGAGGTGTTTGCTTTTTTGGAGGTGGGCTTCTTCTACTGCAGGTTGCATGTATTCGGTCTCCAGTCAGTTTGGAACAGAAGCAGTTCCTCATGCAGCTTTCTCAATGGAGTCACCCCTGCACTGGTTCTGTCGTTGGTCTGCTCCACTTCTTTCTCCTCCTCCCATTACTAGCTTCTAGTAACTCAGTTCCCCATGGGCCATTCATGCACCACCACCATCCTACCCCACTTCCACGCTCTCCTCTTTATTCCACAGGCTCTGTGCATGCTGAAGTGTTCCCAACACCAAGAAAGGGGATTTTTATTGTGGTCCAAGGCCAGCACACATCACTAAACCAGCTTGGAATCAGGAATCAAAGAGATCAGCTTTCATCTCCATGAAGAAGTGGGTCCAGCTGCAAGCAGAGGGGCCTGCATACCATGATCAGTATGTGTTCTCCTGTACCCTCTCTCAGACTACACACCAGGAAACAAGAGTATGGAAACAACTATCAGAAAGATATCAGCCTAACTGCCATATAGTGGCTGAAGGGGACACCAAGAGAGGAACATGAGTGCCAGGGTGTTATTTTAGAACAAGGCATGTCTACTTTCATTACAATACCAGAGTCTGGATTGCTAATGTAGCTACTAAGCCACATGTACACAGCCAAGAGGTTGCAACTGTTTCGTTCTGATGCAGCCCTCTCATCAACGCCTTTGCCACCTTCAGAATAAACTATTGTAATACACCGGGATATATCTACATCAGGTAAGTTTTGTGCCACTCCACGTGACACATTTCTCACCAGGGAAAAATGGTAATGGATTTCTCCCTAGGGTTTCCCTCAGCAGTGGAAAGGTGTGTGGACAGGGGGAGGGATCGGAGACTGAAGCCTATCCCTTGCACCCTGCAGAAGCAAAATCAAAACTAGCTTGGGTGAGCACTGGGAGCCTGGATAAGCCAGTGGGGACAAACGTTATTGGAGGGAGGTGGGAAAATGTGGCATGGGAGCTTGTTTGTGGAGAGGGGGAAGGAATGGGTGAGCCTAAACATGAAACCCACCTGGGAATTTTGGTGGTGGGGAGCCTGTTATAATGGCAGTTGTTGGAAATGGGGTGCAGCTCCCCCATCCTGCCCCTGCTCACCACTACCTGCCCCTTCTGTTCTTAACCAGCCCTTTCCAGTTTCTGTTCCCCCTGCCTGCCCGTGCTCCTTCCACCCTGCTCTCAACAGGCCCCATTCTGCTCCTCACCCACTGCAAACAAGACAGACTGTTGCCTCATTTAATAGAATGCCTGGGGGCCAGCAAGGGGCACACTAAGAGCACAGGACAGTCTCCCTGACCTCAGTATTGACACCTGGTGCCATAATTTCCCCCCAGTGATCAAGAAGGGAAGTTGCAGGAAAAGTCCTGCTGGATACATGAGATTTAAACAGGGTTGCAGGAATAAAGGAGAAGCAGGGAATGCGGGAGTGCACATCCAATGCATGACACTTAGCAGTCTTGATAGGACTATATCTTAAATCTGGAAATTTGCAACTGGTGCAGAATTCTGCCCTCAGTTTGTTAAACAGTGTTTCTTTTCACAAGCACATCAAGTCTATGCTCCAACATCTGCACTGGCTGCCAGTTGTTTCTAGGTGGATCTTAGAGTGCTTATAGTGATCTATAAAGCACTAAATAACCTGAGACCTATCAAGCTAAGAGGCCACCTCTCTGCCCAAGAGATAATGCCATAATCATAGTTAGTAGGAGTGCCTGAGCTGGAGTTCCATTATACCTTTTGAATTCACTAGCCAACCCCCTTTCCACATAATAGCCCAAATTTTCTCTAACCTTCTGGGTATGCTACCAGGCCCATCTTCCCTCTCTGGCCCATAAGGAGACTAGTGATGGGCAAGGCTGGCTAGCAGTGCATGGTGGACTCTGATGGAGACACTGTTAGGAAATTTAAATTAAGTTGTATTTCTGTTGTTGCCAGGGAATTTGATGGAGTCTGTATTCTTTTTTTAAATAAAGATTGTTAGGAGAGCCCAAGCCTGGGATGGTCTCTCATTGTAAAATACTAAGAATATAAAAAATTCAGACATTTTTACATTATTTCACATTACACAGAAATGTTTATGGCCTGATTTTCAGCAGTGCTGAGTAATACCAGCTCCAAATGCAGTCATAGAATCATAGAGTTGGAAGGGACCTCAGTAGGTCATCTAGTCCAACCCCCTGCTCAAAGCAGGGTCAAACCCCAACTAAATCCCCAAATGGCCCCCTCAAGGATTGAACTCACAATGCTGGGTTTAGCAGGCTAATGCTCAAACCACTGAGCTATCCCTCCCCAACAGTATCTGCAGGAGTTCCACACTTTGGAAATAAAAGCTATTAGTTCTTTTCTCTATTATACATCATAGTTTGACTAAATAGTATGATGGTACCTTCAGGCTGTCATTGAACTATGAGACCATACCCATCTGCTGTAAATATGACCCTGAATACAAAAATACTGTGCCCAGTAACACATTTCTGCAAAATGAACTAAAAGATCCTTTTGTTTTACGAAAATGTAGGTGCTCCATATTATGGTACTTTATTTTCTCTGACCTTATTAGAATACTGGGTAACTGACTGGATTTCAGTTTACTTAAAGAGTAATAAATGTCACCATTATCCAAATGAAACATCTGACAGATTACACAAGATGACTGCAGAATGATCTTTCATACCTAATGCTCCTTGTTTCTTTAGGAGCTTGTCAGAGGAAAGCTAACAGCCAAGAAAATTGCAAATATTATTGACTCTACTCTAGTAAGAGACTATAGTGGAACATGACCCACTGAACTCTGCAGGCTTGGAGGTCACCTCATACTGCATAGCTGCAAGGTTTTTAAGATCTGCAATACCCTACTCTTAATAAAAATTCTGTGGCATCTAAAGTGAAAGCAAGTTCCAGTGCATTGTTTCTTGCCAAGAAAATAGATCCTGATCAGACCTGTGAGCACTATTTGCTATAGAAGAGTGTTTGTGATACAGCTGTATAAATGTAAAGTAATAATTTTATCATCATCATAAATTACTTGCATTTTGTTAACATTTTTTAGGCTGCCCCCAAAAAATTAGTGCTTGCTTGCTTCTGCAGATAGATAGAACCAGGCAGCTGAGCCTGAGAGAACATGTAAAAAAAGGTGTAAAGGAGGCTGCAATACCCTCCATTATGTTTGGACATAAAGACAATTTTGCTCTTTAAACAAATACGATGGCCTTCTCTGGAAAAATTTAGGATTGCAGATAGTAACTTATTGCCATTTTATCTCTATATACAGAAACTTTATCTAAATATCACTTAACTCTGAAATACACAGTATGTGGCACAGGTACAACCACTACTGGACTATTGCATTCAGCTGTCCTCAATTCAAGAAGGATGTTGAAAATTTGGATTGGGGTCAGAGAAGAGCCACAAGAATGAGCAAAGGACTGGAAAACATGCCTTACAGAGAGCACAGACCCTGTACACCTTGCATGCCAGTCTCCTTTGTTGTTCTATTGCCCTGAGTTCAGCTGTAAAAACAGTGTGGGCTCAAGAAATAATCAACAGTGACAAGTCTCTTTGGAGCAAAGAAGTTCATGTTAAAAAGACCATGACAATTCCACCACCTGGTCTCAAGATTCTCATCTTGCTCAACAGTACAGTAAACCTAGAATTGGACTGTGTACAGGACAGCAAACCAA